CCCCGGCCCCGGCCCCGGCCCCGGGCCCGGCCCCGGCCCTGGCCCCGGCCCCGGCTCCGGCTCCGGCAAGCCCGCCGGCCCCGGCGCCGCGCAAACTTTGAATGGGAGCGCCGCGCTGCTGAACTCGCACCACGCCGCCGCACCTGCTGTCAGCCTGGTCAACAACGGGCCCGCCGCGCTGCTGCCGCTGCCCAAGCCCGCTGCCCCCGGCACTGTCATCCAGACGTCCCCCTTCGTGGGCGCCGGCGCGCCCCCCGCGCCCGCCGCGCCGCCCCCCGCTGCCGCCCAGAACGGGGGCAGCGCCGGAGCAGCCCCCGTCCCCGCCCCGACCGCTGGGGGCCCCGCGGGGGTCAGCGGACAGTCTGGGCCCGGCGCGGCGGCCGCGGCGCCCGCGCCGGGGGTCAAGGCCGAGTCGCCCAAGACGGTGGTGCAGGCGGCCCCCCCGCCGGCGCAGACCCTGGCGGCCACCGGCCCGGCCAGCACGGCGGCCAGCATGGTCATCGGGCCAACTATGCAAGGGGCTCTGCCCAGCCCCGCCGCCGTCCCGCCGCCTGTCCCCGGGACCCCCACCGGGCTGCCCAAAGGCGCGGCTGGTGCGGTAACCCAGAGCCTGCCCCGGACGCCTACGGCCACCACCAGCGGGATCCGGGCCACTCTGACGCCCACCGTGCTGGCCCCTCGCCTGCCGCAGCCGCCTCAGAACCCGACCAACATCCAGAACTTCCAACTGCCCCCAGGTGAGTGGCCGCACGGGGCGGGAGGGAAGGGCGGGTCCCAGCAGCGCCAGCTGCCAGTTCCAGGAAGTTCTCCGCTGGTGGAATGCTAAGGTCATCTGTCCCGCAGGCCGGTGGCTGGAGCAGGCCGAGGGGCAGCCGCTGCCCAGGTGCGGGCCAGTCCAGGTGGCTGCCTGCGAGTGAGCCAGTGGGAGTCGGCACAGCCTGCTTCCCGGTCTTCGTCCCTGACGTCTGCGGTGTCTGCCTGTGCCTTGGGGCTGGTTTGTTTCGGAGTCGCTCAGCCAGGACTCCTAGTGGAGCGGTCCTTACCTGTTCCCCGCCTGTGTGTCCCTGCGGGGGTTCGAAGGCTCAGCGCAGGCGCTCTGTGGGCCAGGCGATGGGGTCTGCGGAGCCGAGGGCAGGACTCATGTGGCAGCGGCTGTCCCCTGCCCAGTTGTGCAGTTAGGTGTGTGGCCTATGTATGTTCCCATTTAGCCTTCTTGCCCCTTTGTGACCCTGGGCTTGAGCCTCCCCAGTCTCCAGGCGAGGACAAGGAGGAAGGGTGACGCCCCCTCCTCGGGGCTGGGGAAGTCTGGATGGAAGGCTTGGGCTTCCCTGTTGCCCCCAGGAAGGCAGAGATGTCAGGCGCACCTTTTGAGAGCTCTCCCAGCGCTCAGCCTTGCTGAGAGCTGCGCTCTGGAGTAGGGTTTCAGACCGTTGTGTCACGGTCTCTTCCAGCGCTGCGTTGGTGCCTAAAGGAGTGCCCAGCTACTCTGGTTGCTGCCCTCTCGGGAGAGCAGAGGGAGGGCGGTGGCAGCAGATGCTCTCGCTCTGTGCAGGGGTCTCGGGGTGGTACTGGCTTCGCTGCGGATGTCTGGGGCTCAGGTGCCCCTTCTGTTTGGCAGTTCTCACGCTTCTGTCTAGTTGGCTATCTCTGTGACTCCTCAGGGCCCCTCAAGTTTGTTGGGAAAGATTGCCTGGCCAGCATTGCACGCTAGGCTGCTTTTGTCTGGGGCTCCCCAGCCCTCCCCAGCCGCCGTGGTGGGTGCTGGGCCGGGGAGCTCCTCCCCGGCCTGTGGTGACGTGTGGCGTGCAGTTGTAGCATCGCGGTGGCAGCAGTAGTAGGAACTACAAGAAGAGCGTGGGTCTCTCCTGTGTCGCCTCTCTGAAAGGAGCTAGCTAGTGGTCACTTTGACCGGGTTGCAGCATCTTGAGAAGTGAAAGATTTTCTTGTCCAAGTATGTGAGGCTCAGGACTGGTGGTCAGACTCCCGACAGGGCAGGTGCAGGGAGCACTGCTGCGGGGAAAGCGTGTCCCGGTGGCCACTGGGCTTCGGTGCTCCAGGGAGGGAGACAGCTGGGAAGCCAGCCCCCCAGGGTTGCTGAGATGCCCATTATGACAAGCTTTTGGGGTCCTGAAGCGTTTACAGGAGTGTTTTACCAAAGGCTTTGTTTTGCTCTTGATGTGTATGTTGACCTTTTATTAGGAAAAGTGGCTGATCTTTAGTAATGTTGTGGAAAGGTGATTGACGGTTGTGGTCTATTATGTAAAATATCACAATGCTTTATTATAAAAATGTTTTCTTAGCAGTCCCACGTGTCTCAGCACAGGCCAGGTGCCTGTTGCACCCCTTGGGTAGGTATAGGACTGTGCCATGTGGGGCTGGCCGGGTTCTCTTGCACTGAGCCTCTGCAGAGGTAAAGCCTGTCTCTTTTTTTTGGGAGGAGGTGGAGGAATACGTGTTTGGAAAAGATATCTCTGCTGTATTTGTCATGAGTGACCTGGGACTCACTTCCATCTTGTTTTAAGGTCAGTTTTAGGGTTGGCTGTGTTTGTTGAGGAGGCACCTTGAACTGTGGGAGTGTTGACTCTGATTCCCATGTGAGGACAGGGAACAGCTCACGCAGACGTTTGGGTGGCAGTGCTGAGAGCGGTGCTCTCAAGGGGCTGAATGCTACTGTCTAAAAAATGAAAGATTTACCCCATCTCTTCCTGCCACCCTGCAGTTCATCTGCAGAATTCCTAATGAGGAATTCTGATGGTGTTATTTCAGGAACTGCCAAAGCAAAAAAAAAAAGTATCAATAAAATTACCAGTGCCCCAAACCAGAGTACCTTCTTTTAAACAGTACGACTTAATTTTGTAAATCAAAATGGCAAATTGCAAATACTCTGATTACTTTCTGTAATTGATCAGACAATATTGAATTATTCTAGTCGGCTTCATTGAAATATTTCACAGTAAGAATGTTTAGAACAAAGATGGAAGGAACTTATAAAAATAACTTGCTCGACTAATAACTCATTCTAGTTACGACTCAGTCTTGCAAACTGAGGTGGAGCCGGGAGTATTAGGGGTGGGCAGGGTTCTGGAAGCTGCATGTAGGTGTCAAGTGGAATAGCAGACTGGTGGCAATTGGCTGGGGTGTGAAAGGGCCTGCCCCTCCCAGGCCTTCCCTCCATGGAGGTCTTGGGTGGGAAAAGGGAGGGGACAGAGGTTTCACCCTTAAGGCTAAGTCTTAGGCCCTGAGTGTTTCAGCCCCGAGGTACACCACATATGTTGAATTTGGTTTTAGCCAGCTGCCTTGATATTCTTTGTCAGGACAGTTTTGTAAAGAAAGTTATGTTAATGTAATTGTGATTTGCTGGTTTGAGGTGCCAGAATCTAAATTCTGTTCGATGGGGAAAAAGGAGAAAACATGGCTTTAGTGAGATTTTACAGGTGACACACTTGTCCCAAGAACATGGAAAAGCACTAGTTATATACAGCTTAGGATAGTCGTAAGAAAAGCACTAGTTATATACAGCTTAGGATAGTCATAATGTCATAGTCATACTGTGATTTTAGCTGAGAGAAGGAAAAAGTGATCTGACACCCAAATCAGCATGTTCACAAATGGTGTGAGAGATCTCTTCAGGTGGGTCTGTGTTAAAGATGCCTGTTTCTAAAGGTTATTGTTTGGCCTAGCAAATTTGTGTTTTCTTTAGTGTATCTTGGTCGATTCTGCTTTCACGCAGAATTTACTCCCCTGTTGGTCTAAGATTTGGG